ATGAAAGAATTATTTTCCTGCCAGGAGCTCCCTCTGGCGAAAATAATGTGTGGCAACAAAAAGGTTGCACCCTTTAACGATTCCTTTGGATCATGCGAAGTTTGGAATATCAAATACACGCAGGTCCTAACGAATCCTGATATCGATTTGATGAAGATTCGATATTTTTTGAGAATCATTTACTTTCAAATTGAGACAAAAATAATTTTTGTTTTAACAAACACTAAAATTAATAAACTCGAAAACTTTCCGGCTTGCAGTTTCACATTTTATACTAATTTTTTTTTTCTTAGATTATCTCCCCCCCCCCCCCAGTCAGCGCAGCTTTGAAAGCTTTTGGTTTTTCTCGAAAACTGTTTATCACATAAATAAATAATTTCATATAGAAATATTAAAGTACTGGACAGATGTGTTATAACTCTGGATAGTTTGAGTCTAGATGGCGTTTTATATGCAAATAACTTTGTGGGTATGTAAGTCCCAATCCTACTTCTACCCTTAATGCTGAAGATGGTATCGTATTGATAGGTATGTACAGTCTTTTAGGACACGTCCCTGTTTTTAATAATTATTTATGATGTAAGATTTTAAAGTTGTATTACTTTTAATTGTAAACTGTTTATTGCATGTTTATAAGAGTTATAGGTTGCTTTTGTTACTTAACATTTCTGACATTTTCTATTCACGATATAATCTTTAATGTCTCAAGTTTCACAATCTTTAACACACGTTCTCTCCTCGAGACAATCTTTTAAAAAAATACCAGCTTGCATGAAAGTAAGAAATGGAAAAGATCAAGACACACGGTAGTGTGTCGTGCGGTTACGAAACGACAACAAACAAACTTGAGAAGCGATTTTTTTTTTTATGAAATCTGGTATACATTTAACATACCGTTTATGTCTGTACAAAATTTTTGCGCAAACCGAATACAATATTTCGCGTTACGGTAAAAAGAACGGCGATTTTGAAGGATAAATTTTTCGCTCAGTAAATGGAATAGTTTGGAAGTTACTTACAGGAATTCCTCCTCGTACAAATCGGCTGTTATCCGGTTTTTATCGGATCTCTGTTGACTAGGCCTACAACAACGTCTTGTTCGACAGCCTTGATGATACTGTCTCTTCAACACGTGATAGTTTATATATTTGTGAGTAACAATATAATATTGTATTATGTTACTTTGAAAGCATTCTTTATATTTTACAGCTTCTATATACGGTTGACATTAAACTGATATGTAGGCCAAATGCTGCTTGACGTGATAAATCCATGTATGTAAGTGTGTGTAAAATCCCAAATGCTGCTTGACGTGATAAATCCATGAATGTAAGTGTGTGTAAAATCCCAAATTCTGCTTGACGTGATAAATCCATGAATGTAAGTGTGTGTAAAATCCCAAATGCTGCTTGACGTGATAAATCCATGAATGTAGTGTGTGTAAAATCCATGCATTTACAGCTCACACTTGTACATATACGAACTTTTTAGGCTTTGTTTATCATAAAAAAAAAAAGTATGATGGTATCCCTCACAATCATATGTGCATTCTGGTTTAAAAAAAGTAGTAATATCTAAACCCTAAACAGTCCAGATATAAAAACAAAGTGTGGTCAAGCCAGTACAGTAATGCTGTTGATGACAATGACAGTTTTAATATTGACAACTCAGGTAAACATTGTGTTATTATTAAAACTGTCATTGTCATCAACAGCGTTACTGTACTGGCTTGACCACACGATGTTTTTTATAGCTGGACTGTTTATGGTTGAGATAGTTGCAACACGTTTGTTTATGGTTTAGATAACACGTTTGTTTATGGTTTAGATAACACGTTTGTTTATGGTTTAGATAACACGTTTGTTTGTGGTTGAGATATAGTTACAACACGTTTGTTTATGGTTTAGATAACACGTTTGTTTGTGGTTGAGATAGTTACAACACGTTTGTTTATGGTTTAGATAACACGTTTGTTTATGGTTTAGATAACACGTTTGTTTGTGGTTTAGATAACACGTTTGTTTGTGGATTAGATAACACGTTTGTTTGTGGTTTAGATAACACGTTTGTTTGTGGTTGAGATAACACGTTTGTTTGTGGTTTAGATAGTTACAACACGTTTGTTTATGGTTTAGATAACACGTTTTTTTTATGGTTTAGATAGTTACAACATGTTTGTAAAATAAAAATGTTAATTTAGTTCACATATTGCTGTTTTAAATTGTTCGTAGATAACTTGCAGGTTTGGAGTCATTGGTTAAAAAGTATTATTCATTTGGAAATTTTGTAATCCCTCCCCTCCCCGTAGTCTCTTTAATTATTAATTATTGACTCAATTCTACTATTTTCTTGCCACATTACTAACTATGATAGACAAAGAGTGCTTATGACACTAAAAAGTGTTTTTTGATACTCGTCACAACACAGATAGCGGCGGTCACAACACAGATAGCGGCGGTCACAACACAGATAGCCCTCGTTATGGCTTTGTGCTTAACAACGAACAAATCGTAATATATAATTCAGTAAAAATTATATATATATATATTACTTTTTTCTCCCTCTACAAACGAGTAAAGTCTCGAGCGCTTCTTCATATTTCCTCTTTTTTAATATGCATTTATGAATCACCAAATTTACGAGTTTTCGTATGAAATTCATTTTGAATCAGGGAGTAAATCAGGGCGTGAATACAATCTACAGTTAATATTCGTTTTAAATCATTCCGATGCTGTGATGTTATTTGTTTTTTATTTACAACTTGAGAAATTGAGCAAAAATTCGCAGACAAAGGTATCTCTTTTTTTTTCTAATCCCAGATATCGATACAATTTTTCCTCTAGCCTACTAGGGAGTTTTAAAAGATTGAAAATTTGTCACAGGTTGTATTTCCAAGTAATTTTGTACGCCTCTAGAGATGTCCGTGGACTTTATACATTGACGTCATCAACATCAGAGTTTACATATATACGACTTTCACCTTTATCTAAAATCAAGTGTTCCTAAAGATTTGTTATTCTGACATCATACAATAAGATATGAAATATAAAAAAGAACATTATTGTAGATAATGCCAGAAAAGTTAACTTGTCTCTAGACGAAATTATTAACTCTCAAAAAATGCAAGACAAACGAAAGGTCGGTTGAAATGGTTTTCGTTTGTAGCATTCCGATCATAGACTTTGAGCTTAATTGCATTTTTTAACGACATTGGCTCTTCGCATAACGTAGATAGTAAAGCTTTGAAAAATGATCTAGTTATGGTTCGAAATGATTAATCGAACAAAAACAAGTAGTTGTAGAAATACGAACATGAAACTTCTTATGTAACGCAACTTACTTCGGTTTGTTACATGTTTTGTTATTTAAAGATGAATTTCTTTTAAGTATTTTTGGTATTATCTTATCCTTTCATTACGATACTTGTAAAACTGGCGAGCTTTCCAAGTACATACAGCATATAAGAAACCATAAAATGGAATAACCTAATTTTTGATGAATAACACGCCAGCTCCAATTAGGTAGGAAAACACATTTTAATGATGTGTGGTTAAAACTGGGTCGTAAAACACGTTTTAATGATATCTGATTAATACTAGGTAATAAAACACGTTTTAATGATATCTGATTAATACTAGGTAATAAAACACGTTTTAATGATATCTGATTAATACTAGGTAATAAAACAC